GAGGGAGGGAGGAGGTTCATGGGGAGGGGAGGGAGGAGGTTCATGGGGGAGGGGAGTGAGGAGGTCAGTTGGGAGGAGAGTTAGTGGGAATTAATGGGGGAATGAGTGGGGTCCATGCAGAGGAGTACATGAAACACTCAGGATCCACTGTCTCCTCGTCTCCTCTCTGGATGTACCTTTGAGACTCTGGATGGCGTCCCCTACCTTTTATTCCCCTGCTGAGCTGAGCCTCATCAGGATGCTTGGTCTCTGGACACATAATCCCCAAACCAAAGCATTCTAGACAGAACTTAGAGGCTTCCTTCTTTTAAAAAACAAAACAACATAAACAAGACAACAAACTCCAGCATGGCTGCCTCCAGGGGTCAGCTACTGGTCTGTGTTGTCCCACCCAGCACCTCCACATCTTTTTTTCCTCTTAGTAGAAAGGGAGCACATTTCTCCCCGTGCTCAGTTGGAGACATTGCCTGAGCTCAGGTCACAGACCTGAATGAGAGCTAAGGCCTGCACTGTCCTCTGGACTTAGAGAGGGTGATGATTAAGATGCTGTTACAGAAGAGAGGACACAGACGCTGGGCAGAGCCCTTCCTGTGCCCCTGGCACCAGCACAATGCTCCCCCCTCCCTCCCTCCCTCCTACATCATATGCACATGCCAGCATGCATGTTTGCACGCCTTGGTGAACACTCAGAGATCAGAGAGCAACTTTAGGGAGCAGCTCTTTCTTTCCACCGTGGGATTCAGGGATCAGATTCAGGTCCTCAGTTTTGGCACCAAGCACCTTTACCTACTGAGCCACCCTGCCAGCCAACTGGTGTCTCTCAGTAACTCTACTTCTACTCTCCCTAGTAATTTGCAGTCATCAAGTTCACAGAGGCGCCAGGAACAGCCCAATCCAAAACGCAGTCCCATCCTGCACAGACCCAGCTTAGGCAATATCTTGTGAGCACATTTAACTTCATCTTCGGCTTTGAATCTGTTTTTCTGATGACCCAAAATACACCCTGGCTATAAAAAGCTCCATAATTTCAAAACTATGCAACAAAGAGGGTGAAATCCCCTGGAGATGAACTCTTTCAGGAAACTTCCCGGAACAGTCAGTCTTGTGAACTGTTTGCAAGACTTTTCTCCACATATGTGCCGCACGTAGTTGAAAAACAGCCCGTCTTTCATCCCATAGCTACGGCAGGCCCCTGGTCTATCTCTCCTAGCTCATCTAGGGGAAATCACTGAGGATGGGAGACATTAGGAAACCTTGGACCACTAGGAAACCAAGCCCCACCCCACTCCTCCACCCCAGTCTTTCCACAGAGCTGCTGCTTGGGCTCTCCCCAGGTGCTCACTGTTTTCTTAGTCTTCTGGAATCTTCCAGAAGTTTTATGAGGGGTTAAAGACCCAGTAAGGTCACTCATTGGCTCATTCATCTGTGTGATCCCGAAGACCTTGGCCAGGGCTAGGGGTCGGTGATCCTGTAAATTGGATCATCCTGCCCATCACCCTGAGTTTTGAGTCCCAGACACTCAGGCTGCTTTTACTACTTCCTTCCTTGTTGTCTGGAAGAAGCAGATGGGTCCTCAGTATACAGAAGCCAGATTGGTCAATTCCATGTCTTCTGCCACTGGCAGCTACCCTCAAACTGAGCCAGCTTCTTCCAGCTGTCCTCACAGGATAGGGAGTGGACCCTGCGTACAGTTGTGCCATCCAGGTGCGGTGGACCCTGCTCAGAGCCACGCCATCCCCTTACGATGGATAGACTCTAAGGGGACCTGGTGCAGAGGCACACCACCCAGGTGCGGTGGATAGACTCTAAGTGGACCCTACTCAGAGCCACGCCATCCAGGTGCAGTGGCTAGGCTCCTGATAGACTTGCCTGTCTTCGTGGGCTGAGGTTTTGTCAGTCTCGGCACTGATTACGTGTCCTTAAGAACCCTAGCTCTAGGAAATCAAGGCATTTGGCCAAGTCCTGCTGCCACATTGCCATGCTGGTACGGGCACGCTCTTCACCTCTCTAGGCTAAGTCTTCTCTCCGAGCTTTGATTTTTCTGGGATTATGAGGATTAAGTGAAATGATGCACGGTACGTGCCGAGAGCAGAGGCTGTGGCGTCCCCTCAGTAGAAGCCTGGCTAATACTGTCATTCTTCCCTTCGGGCTCAGGCTGGAGGCCTTGGAATCACCAGCCAGTGGGTAACACATGGCTGGGGCCCTAGGAAGGGGTCCTGAGGTTTCAGGTTCTATTCTTGCTGCTGCTGCTGCTTTCTCTTGTGACCCTGAGTACGCCCCCTTCCTCTCTGGGCCTCAGTGCTCCTCATCTGTAGAACGGAGATAGCAGTGTGCCCACCTTTCAACATGGCCCCAGCCCAGTCTTTGGTCACTGTTATGTGATCTCTGTTATTGCTCAGTCTAAGCTTGTGGTTGAGAACACAGAGTCATTATTGGGCCATGTGACTCTAATCCTTGCACACTTTCTGGGTGCCCTTTTCTTTTCACACTTCACCTCGGAGGGCTGTGGGAGTGCTAAGTGCAGAGCCCTCACGAGTCCATCAGGAAGGGGCTTCCGGCTGCATCCCAGGCATGCAAAGTTCACCTGACCCCCTCTCTCTAGCCTCAATCACGTTCCACTGGAAGTCTCCTCCCTGGCCTTGCTCATTCAAGGACTAAGTCACATGACCCTACTGCAGCACCTTAGGTGAGTAATCAGTGACCCCTGGGAAAGAGTGAGAGGACCACTGGTCAGCTCTGTTGGGAAACCCTGGGCACACCTCCTTTATAACCCGGGTTGACTCCCTCTGGCCAAAATCAGTCCATGGCAAGGCAGTTGGCTAAACCTCAACGTGTGAAAGAAACAACCCTCATAACGAGAGGGCAAACCATTTCCCTGGGCAGTTTAGTTTACTTCGAGTTTAGCTTAGCTCTTGGCTCTCATACAAGCAAGACCACACACTTCCACACTGCATAGGCAACTCCAGGAGAGAGCTTTGGACCCCCAGAGATGGTATGCAAGGTATCAGGAAAGATTTTAGGATGGCAGCAAGGAGACTACCCTAAACAGATACTAAGAATTGGGAGTCTCATCCAAACGCGAGATGATGAAACTCTCGTACGAGCTGAGGCCTTTCTCTGTGTGTCATATCCAGGAGGGCTATGGGCAAGCTGAGATGGGTGGCAGGCTGATGGTCCTTCATCTTTGTTTTCCTCCCCAAGCTTGAGACACGACCAGATTGGAGACGCGGGTACCCAGAACTTAGCGGCCATCTTGCCAAAGCTTCCAGGGCTCAGGAAGTTAGAGTGAGTCACAACCCTTCTGAAAAGAGCCCACAGGGACAACACCACGCTCCTGGGAGATACTGGACCCTGACCCAGGCTAGCACCGGAAAGGGGAATCTCTCCCAGCCTTGTTGCTGGGGAGGGGGAGTTTGTGATCTCCTAGGCCCTGTTCTCTGGGTCTTTGTGTTTCATCAGGATGGAGTCATGGCTGCATCTCTAGTACAGATGTAGTGGGGAGGGATGCAGGAGGAGAGGGTCCAATAACCTTGCCTTCCACAGCCTCTCAGGGAACAGCATTGGCCCAGCGGGGGGAGTGCCGTTGGCAAAGTCTCTCATCCATTGCAGGTGCTTGGAGGAGATCATGTGAGTGTCTGACCAGGTGGTACCCCCTTATCCCTTCAGAGCAAGGCTGAGTGGGGCTTCTGAGCAGGCTGCCCATACTCATCCCTTCACCCCTTTCTTCTTTCAGACTGGGCAACAATGCTCTGGGGGACCCCACGGCCCTAGGGCTGGCTCAGAGATTGCCTCCACAACTGAGGGTCCTGTGGTAAGTGTCTTCCTGTCAACCCCGCATACAGAGCAGTAGAGAGGGGACCCAGGAGAAGTGGGATCCAAGCAACCCATAGGTTGAGCAGCCTAGCCTGAGATTGGAATGGCCCCTTCTCTGCTGCCTCTCCCCAGTCTCCAGATTAAGCTTAATGGTGACCTTACCCATTGTCGCTGAGAGCTCCTAGGCAAATTTCTGCCCCTTCTGAGTCTTAGTTTCCTCATTTGTAAAAGGATGTTACCAATCTAAGCTTTTCTGCCTCAGAGCAAGTCTCTGAAGGTGTTTGAATTAATGTCAGCAAAAGGCTACATGCAAAAGCTCCAAGGGCATTATTCCATCCTCTATAGGTCAAAACTAGGGCTTCCTGAGTTCCAGGCAGCCCTGGGGCTGTGATTCTTGTATGTACCATTTTCTAGGAAAGGTCTAAGACTAGAAACAGGATGGAAAGCATGACTTCCTAAAACACGAAGAAGCCAAGGCTTGGACTTAGCATCTCAGACCCTTAGGTTAGGGAGGGACCTGGCATTCACTGGGTCCTTTGTGGGCAGGGACAGGGTCAAAGGCCAGCTAAGGTTGTTGCTACAGTCAGAGGCACAGTTGAGAATGTGAGGCTTAGGGAAGGCTCCCAACCCCAGAGTTGGCCCCAGGCTCCTCTTACCTTTTCCTTTCCAGTCTGCCATCCAGCCATCTGGGTCCTGAGGGGGCCCTGTGCCTGGCCCAGGCCCTGGAGCAATGCCTACACATAGAAAAGTTCAGGTGAGGTGGGGCCCTACCTGGGCTGAGAGACGGGGGGAGGGGGCGGTCTGGGGCAGTTCTGACTCCTGTCTACCCTGCCCCACAGCTTGGCAGAGAATAACCTGGCTGGATGTGTCCCACATTTCCGCAAGAGTCTCCCACTGCTCAGACAAATTGAGTAAGGAGCCTTCCCTGGTTGTCTGGAGCCCTGCAGGAGGGCCATTGACGAGATGGGACTTAGAGCTGGGGGTGGGGGAAAAGATGATTTTCTTAACCCCCTGGCCCTGGCCAGGCCACTCTGGTCCCTCCTGCTCTCACTATGGGAAAGGGGGTCCTGCTAGCGGTGGCCCCTGTCTCAGAGAGCCATCACCATTTCATCCCAGCCTGATTTCCTGCAAAATTGATGACCAAGTTGCCAAGCACCTTGCCGCCAGCCTCATGCTCTGCCCAGCTCTGGAAGAAATCTTGTAAGTGCCCGAGGGCCCTGAGTTGGGAAGAGCATCTGCCTCGGGGGCTGGCCCTGCCTACTGTGTGCTGGAGCTGGCCCTGCTTACTGTGTGCTGGAGCTGGCCCTGCCTACTGTGTGCTGGAGCTGGCCCTGCCTCTCAGCTGGTCCTCCACTCTGGAGATGGGAAGCCCTATCTTGCCCCCTAGTCTTACCCCCATGTACTCCAGCAACACAGGGCAGAGTCACTGGACTGCTCCTGCCAGTTTTTCTCCCTGTGTTGTGGGAAGGGTGTTGGATCACGCAGTCTGCAAAGAGTTTTTACTTCCCTTTGGAGTGCTTCTCATGGTTTATGGAGACTCTACTTGTAAATAGCTATTGGTATTGCAGAAGGTAGAAGCTGGTAGACAGTCACACACACACACACACACACACACACCAGCTGTGACCTCTTTGGTCATCCCACTGCCTCAGACCTCAGACTCTTGCAGCACTGTGAAGGTATCAGACCTGACTTGAGGCCCTGAATGTTGAGCAGAAGAAAGTTCTAACTCCCAAGGTACAGGGCACAGAGCACAAGAGGGCTTCTGGGTCTGTGTCCCAACGAGTTTGGGAAGATTTGTTTTTTCTGTCTTGGGGGCAGAACTCATGCATGTCAGGTGAGGATTATACATTGAGCTACACGCTCAGTCCTCAGCGCTCTTAGTTCTCAATCCTCCTCCATATGCCACAGGTCAGCACTCGCTGACTTTGAACTCAGTTACCAGTGACTCTTCCCTTTAACCAGTGGGAACAGAGTAAGGAACTGAGGACCCTGGGAAGGACCTGGGCCCTCACTGGAAGCTCCATCCTCAGTAACGCTGTATTCAATCTCTTCAATACTTTCCCTTCCATCACACGGAGCTTCCAGGGACAGTAGAGACATATGCTTCCATTGAAGATTAATTCCTTAAAGCAAAAACACTGTGGGGGGGGGGGCTGGAGAGATGGCTCAGAGGTTAAGAGCATTGCCTGCTCTTCCAAAGGTCCTGAGTTCAATTCCCAGCAACCACATGGTGGCTCACAACCATCTCTAATGGGGTCTGGTGCCCTCTTCTGGCCTGCAGGCATACACACAGACAGAATATTGTATACATAATTAATAAAGACTGATTTAAAAAAACACTGTGGGGGAGGTTTAAAAAATATGACACGTACTATCACGTGGGAAGCAGACATTACAGCAAGGTGCTTGCTTGGTGTGCATTGTGTCATATTGTGGTTTCTGAGGACATGTTGCTCCAGAATTGGGATAGGGTGGGGCAGGTAGGGAGGAAGAACGACCTGTGCCCTGAGAATTCTTCAGGGGTAGGTGCTGAGGCGGCTGGCTGAGGAACCCCTCTTGTGCCTGATCCTACTGCCTTCCTTTTACTTCGGTGCCCTCCTGCCTCTGAGCTTGCCCCTCCTCCACTCTGCAGGCTGTCCTGGAACTTCCTGGGTGACAAGGTGGCTGCTGAGTTGGCCCAGGTCCTGCCACAGATGGGGCAGCTGAAGAGAGTGGAGTATGACCCCCTTGAGTGGGGGGGGGTGCAGAGGGGACCCCCATCTTAATAAGCCCAGGGGTTACTGGGCTATCCCTTCCTCTCAAAAATCTATGCAGTGTCTCTGAAGACTCTGGCTGATCCCAAGTCCCTGCCAATCTTAGTTCTTCCCATGCTCAAGCTGTCAGCCTTTCTACTGCCCCACCGGGAGCCAGAGTCCACTGCTCGATGCTGGCAGTGTGGGAGGGGGTGGTCTTGGCTTGCCTGGGGTGGGACGTAGAGGAGGAAACCCCACCCCTAGCCTCATGCTTGCCTCTCTTTTCCTCTTCCCCTGCCTGTCAACTGCAAAGCTTGGAGAAGAACCGGATCACAGCATGTGGAGCCCAACTCCTGGCTCAGGGGCTGGTCCAGGGCTCCCGTGTGCCAATCATTCGGTAACGAAGGGCTGGGCCTCGTGGTAGAAGACCACAGAGACCCTACAATTTGGATCAACCCCCTGTGGGGAGAGGGAGGGCTTGGGTGGAGAATTATCCAGGGAGACTTGGACTATCCCATTAGGAATTTGGCAGCCAGCAGACCTGAATCAAATCCCAGCTCTGCTGTTTGCCAACTTGGTAACTTTGCGTCTGTAACTTCAGGCCCCTGAATGTCAACTTCCCGACCTGGGAGGGTGGTAAGGACTAAAGAATGGATAGGGCGGAGCCTGGGACATGGCCAGCTCTCAGGGGGCAGCACCATGCTCAGGTGACTGCCTCCACTGGGTGGCATGGATGGAATGGCTCTTCTGCTTTAGGCCTTGATCTTTAACCCTGTAGGTAGGTTAGGAGTAGAGCCCAGAGGATGAGGGGACAGCTCTAGAGCTGAGGCCCATGTCTATGCCCACAGCCTCTGGAACAACCCCATTCCTGCCGAGGTGGCCCAGCGTCTACAGAGCCTGGAGCCCAGGTTGGACTTTGCCTTCTTTGACCAGCAGCCCCAGGCTCTTTGAAGAACTTGATGGACCTCTCAAGACTCTTGGGACCAGCCCAGTGACAACCACATCACCCACCAGGAAAAGGGGCTCAGGAGAAGAGCCTCAGTTGGTGCCCAGCATCCTATGAATGCCCCAGCGGGGGAAGAGTGTGTTTGTTTTATCACGATCCTTAGGGAGAACTTTCTTGGGAACTGAGAGCTTTGACTAAAAGAGGACCGTACATCATATATGGCATGTGTTACCAGTGGGACACTGGCACAATGAGAGTACTATGATGTCATATATGACAGGGAAGGCTTTGTATGGTGCACTGTGACCAAGACACGGAAGGTCATACTCACGACAGAGTAGGTCATATATGTGGCATTACGTGGAACTTACAGTGAGTGTGGTATCTGGTCAGTGGCTCTTAGCACCGTAAATAGTGGTGTATGTGATCAGGGATCCACCTATGACATGCTGTCTATATCATATAACACTCAGCTTGCCAGGGGACCACAGGCAAGTCCAAGACCTAATTTATTACTATTTAAAAAACAGAAAACTAGGCGAATAATATAGGCCTCATAGCTGTTCAGGAATCTGAGGCAGAGGGGTTGCAAATTTGATACACTCCTGTCTCAAAAGGTTAAAAAGGACTGGGATTCAGCTTAGTGGGAGAATGCTTGCCTAGCATGTGAAATCCTAAGCTGGATACTCAGTATCTTTTCTTTCTTTTTTCTTTTTTCTTTTTTTTTTTTTTTGGTTGGTTTTTCGAGATAGGGTTTCTCTGTAGCTTTGGAGCCTGTCCTGGAACTAGCTCTTGTAGACTAGGCTGGTCTCGAACTCACAGAGATCCGCCTGCCTCTGCCACCTAAGTACTGGGATAAAAGGTGTGCACCACCACTGCATAGCAAAGTATTATTTCTTTAAAAGTATTTATAAGTGAATCTGGAGCAGCTAAGTGATAGCATTTCTGCCCTGGGCTGGGAGGGAGAGAACTGACTGGCTCAACAGCCTATAGTCAGGGCTCTGGGCATGCGGAGGACTCAGCACGAAGTCCCCTCCTACCGGAGCTCGGTTCTCCCTTCTGTTCTTTGGTAGCCCTCCCTTCCAAGGATTTTCAGCCCAGGCTTAGGAGCTAGTTTGATCTTGGGACAGTTCAAACTCACCTGTTCTTTCCTGGTTTAAGGAACAAAGCCAAACATAAGGGTCCAGGGATGGGTACTTTTAGGACATTAGGTAAGGCCACTGGGCCCACCCACTACCTCAGCAGGATTCTGAAACCCCTTGAGGCTCCGTGTTTTTTGTAACTTCCAAGAGGGGGAAAGATAGCCTCGTTACACTCCAAGTTAAACGATCAATAAACGCAGTCTTCCTACCCGTGGCTGGTGTCTGATACGTGTCTCGCTACCCTGCTGCGGCCAGAAGTGCACACACACCCCCTCCCCCACGCTGTGGACTGCAGAATTGGAGAGATGGCTCAAGTGCGCTAGGATGGGCAGTGGTGGAAGCTACCGGTCATGTGACCAAGGGTAACTCACCATGACTCACCCGCCACACGAGACTGTTATCAAAGTTCAGGTGATAGAAACAGGTTTGTTTGAACGACATAATCCTTAAAACTCTTTTCTGAATTAATGATCAGTATTTAAATTTGGGGACTTGTATGTAAAAAATCTCAACTCTGGCTTCTCAGGAGACGTTAAGAGCTGATTACATGACATCTCTCTTTCTCATTTATAGTTGAGTGCCATAAAGGGTGAAAAGATGTCATAAAGGGAGTAGATATGCCATAAAGGGTGCAGAGACAGAATAGCCCCTACTCTAAGTGCCTGAGTCCCTCCTTCCACCACATGGTGAAAACCCAGGCCAGGAGGGTGCAGTTATACTTTGGTGTCACTAGAGGGCAGGCTGACCCACCAGTGATTTCCCTATGGCCCTCACCAGGAAGGCAATAGGACCCACAGGAGGTTAGTGGATGCCAGAGGCTGTTCCCATGTGACACTTGGGATGTCAGAGCATACTTGTGGCTTGCCAGGATGACTTGGCCCTGACCTTTTTGGCCTTCCACGTTGTCTCCGGCATCCCACCAGGCTGAGGAGAAAGTCCTCAGGCCAAGTGCCAAACACTTATCTATCATACCAGGACAGAACACCCCTATCGAGCCAGAGACCGGGCACACCTGTTGCCACCCATCACAATCATGGGAGTTAGCGGGAGTAGAGGATTCACGAAGTTCCCTAGGAAATCCTGGGTCTAAATTCTTGGGAAGCTGCCAGGTCAGCTAGCAGGAGTGTTGTGCTGACCCCTGTCTGGCCCAGACTGAAGACAGAGTCGTCAAATTTGAGAAAGAGTCAGGAGCATCCACCAAAAGCACCTGGACAAGGGACATGCACAGGGTAGTTCCCAAGGACAGGGAGCCCAGAACACAGGACACTTTCTTTCCAGCTCACCCTTTTCCACTTGGCCTTTCCTCTCTGATTCCGCCCAAGTTCTAAACTCCAACCATCTCACAACAGTGGCCCCAGAACACATCACGGACGGCTGGCAATGCAGAGCTGGTTAGGTCCACCGCAAGTCAGGGTGCCAATTCCTTGTCCTTTTCCCTGAGAAACGTCCTTTCCTACTGCCTACCTGCTTGGGAACCTTGGCAGGTTTTCATCTAAAGCTAGTGGGGTCCAGTGTCCCTGGCGGCTTCTTCCCAGGGTAGGCTCAGTTTAAAAATGTAGAGAGAAACAAATGAAATCCAAAGAGGTGTGGGCCCGCGAAAGGTGCTTTCTCTAAGAGGTAAGGATTGTGGCTCGGCCTGGGACCACCCAAGTCTGCCTGCAGGACTGGGACAGCCTCACGCAGCTGGTCACTTGTTCAGCATCCTAGGTGTTCAGATGGAATCATAGCTACTCTTTCTGTCTCGGACCCGAAGCCTTCCTGCTTTGTCTGTCCTATCCCCCAGCACACACAGCTGTCTGGGAGCCACTGTTTCAAACTGACTTGGGGAAGTGATGAGAAAGCTCCCTAAACGGGTCCAGTTATAAAATACCTCTGTGTGCAACGAATGTGAGGGTCCAGCTTCAGCAAGCCTGGAACTGGTGTTCTGTATTTCTGAGAAGCCAAAAGAGAACCTGGGAGTGGGAATTCAAGGAACCTACAGGTCCGGGTGTGCTGCAGACAAGGAAATGAAATGGTCCTCCACCCCTGCTGGGTTCTGTTTTGACCAGCCAGAGCAGGCCTCATCCAGAGTTTACAGGAAAGACTTCTCAGTGGCCAGCTTGTTGAAGATGACCAGGCAGCCTAGGTCCTATGGCCTGGTCACCAGTAGGTCACACCTCCATCACCAGTGGGTGGAAAGTTATCATCAACAGTGGAAGAAAGCCCTCCTTTGTCTGCGGCCACACCACCCTGCACTTCCTGATCTTATCTGAGCTTGAGAAACTTTCCCTGTGACTCCCGCACCTCTACCCAGGCAAAACAAACAAACAAACAAACCTGCCCTCACTGAGCCCAGGTGATCTCAGACCCAGGAGACTAAGGTAGTGGTACACACATATAATCACAGCTCCCTCTGTCCCCTCCCCTCCCACACACCTGAGGCCCAGCCAGGTCCTGGAAAGGGGATGCCTTTGACTCAAGAGCACAGGGAAGGGTGCAAGCAATCTGGGTTACTCTGAGCAGTTTGTCTAAACAACCAGCCCCCAGGAAACAAAGCCTAGGAGCAAGTGCTGTGTCAGGCATCCCGCAGGGGCCTCTTAAGGGGCTCAGGCCTCCAACCACACAGAAGATTCTTTGGGCTCCCAACGCAAGACAAGTCTTCACCCCCACTTTTCACCTTGCATCTTGCTTGCTTGTATGATACTAACCCCGGGGCAAACCCTTCACTCGTGTTTACCGACCTCCGCCCTTGGCTCTAAGGTAGCCTTATGGAGCTATAACCAACGCCTGACACTTGGGTTTATGGAGTAGTACAGCTATTCATCATCATGACAAACGCTTGAGACCCGCGCCGACAAGGACTTCCTCTGGCTTGTGGTTTTGGCTCACAGCATGCTTGCTCCATTCCTACTGGATATTCCGGAAGGTAGAACATCACACCTCAAGGCGGTGAGAGGACAGGGACTTGGTAAAGAGCTATTGCACCACGGACAGAGGGAAGAAGACACCCTCAAAGGCGTGACCTGGGTGACCTTCCTCAAAACCAGGCCCCACCTCCTGAAGTTTCCATCACTTCCCAATAGGGAGTTATATAGTACCTGGCCTTTTATGATGGACTTCCTTGGAGGCCACCTCTACCATAAAGTTTGAGTACTTTCCCCAGGTGAGCAATACTCCACCGTGTGGATTGTATACTGAAGTTCCCCTAAACAACAGTTAATACATACGGAATCCTTCCCACATTTTGGCTCTTGTGAGTCATGCTGCTACAAACATTCATGCTCAACTTTTTGTGTGGATTTACATTTTCATTTCTCTTGGGTAAGTCGGTACCTAGGAGGGGAATTGCTGTGACCCCTGCCCTTGACATTCTGTCCTCCCCACCAGGGCCTAGTGACCTCTCTCTCCCCTCTCCCCCCTAGACACTCCAGTCACCTCAATCTTCTGGGCTTAAAAGAGTGCTGGTTTTAAATGACATGGTTGGGCCTCCTTGCTAATTGCCTTTAACCCTGGACTTTTCATCTATCTATCTATCTATCTATCTATCTATCTATCTATCTATCTATCTATCTATCTATCTATCTATCTAATCTATCTGTCTGTCTACCTGGACCTGGCATTGCTCCCCAGAGTCCAACAGCATGAGAAGACTATCCGCTCCCCACTTTCTACCCCAGTGTCTGAAGGGCAGTGAGATCAAGGAAAGGCTTCCTGGAGGAAGTACAGCTGGAGTCAGCTTTAAGAGGTCCCGCAAGTTGTTTTGTCACAGAGCTGAGCAGAGGGCATCAAGGACTTTTGGTGCAGGAAGATTAAGGAGAATCTGGAGAAAGGCAGGATGCTCCCGGGACAGACAAGCAGAGAAAAAAGCTCTATGCCCTGGGGCTGCTTGGTGGGGGCCCCTCGAAGGCAGCAAAGTGACTCAGACTTAGAGGGAGTTCGTAGCTGCAGCGTGAGCCTCCACATTAACCCTCATCTGTCTGGAACAGAAAACCTACAACCCAAGCGCCAGGCTTTAACCCTTACTCAGGCAGTCCGTGCACACCAGGACCAAGGGCTTTAGCCATGCCTATGAGATCGCTGAACAGCCATGCCCCCACCTCCCCATGGAATCTGGTTAAAAGAGCTTTGGTCCTGATGTTCAGTGGTTAACGTGTTCGAAGGGTACAAAATACCACTGAGTGGCCACCAGCTGCCCAGTGACAGAATAGTCCCTTAAGAACGGGTGTCTCTTCTGGGTCAAAAGCGAACTGAACAGAGGAGAGGCCTCGGCTCCGCGGAACTGCTCTCCCGTTGAGCCCAATCCCCACTCCAAACGTCTTTATCTCGTCTTTGTCACGGGAATATGTGTCATCTTCCCAGTCTCTGGCAGCAAGAAAACGCTATTGAAAGAAAATAAATAATAAAATAAAAAAAAAAGAAGAAAAAAACACTGCGATTCTCGTGACGCCCCAACAGCTTGGGGAAGCAAGCCCTGGGCGTCTCCCCGAGGGCTCTGCGCTACACCCCACACTCTTTGGGGTGAAAGCCGCGGGCGGTGCCCCGGGGTCCAGGGAGTCCGGCGATCGCACCCCGGGATCCCAAGTCCAAGAGCAGCGCGCGGAGCTCCGCGGAGCCTGACGCCTAGAGCGGCGGGCCCGGGGTTGGGAGCGAACCCGCGGCGTCGCACCGAGTGGCAGCCTGCTGCGTCCAGGTCCTCGCGGGCCACCAGCCGGGAGCGGGACAGGCTCCCGTGCAGCCGGGAGAGCCGCCCCTCCAGGAAGCGCCCGCCTCGCGCCCGCTTCCCGCCCACACCCTCCCTCGACAGGAGGGAGGAGCCCGCGCCGCAACCGCGGCCCGAGGAGGGCCGGCCCCAGCCCAGGCGAGCGCACGAGTGGGCACGGCCGTGCGGGCAGCGCCCTGAGCCTGTCCCGCGTCGCCGCCCGGCCGACAGCACAGCGCGCGGGGATGCCCCGGCGGCCCGGAGCACGCTGAGGCTGCGGGACACGCGGTGAGTGGGGCCCGTGGCGGGCGCGGCGAGGGTGGGCCGGGTACTGCGCGCGCCCAAGTTCGGCCTGGGGCTCCGAGGGGAGCGGGTTCTGTCGGAGGGACTCCGACGTCCGTGGTCGCCGCCCCCCGCAGCACGCCCGGGTGACTCAGCTACCACCCGGCCACGCGGGGGCGCTCGTCTGCGGGGGTTCGGTGGCTGGGTGGCCTCAGGGACACTGGCTAGCTGTTTGGGGGGCATCGTCTTCCTCC